AAAGTCTTTCCACAGCTACACCTGCTGAAGCTCCTTCCTGAGCTGTAGCTACCCCTGGAGTAGCTGTAGCAGCGGTGTGAGGCATGACAGCGGTCTATTAGGACTGTAAGAAACACTTACTTATTTACTTTAGGATCGTGGTTCTGGAAGCAGCTGTTTTGCTTTAGGGAGAGCCAGGGCTCATTTTTGAGCTATGTGCCTGGCTGCTCTGTATGTTTATGGAAGTACTGTTATTTCAGTGGGGTGATTCACTGTATTTTGAAACAATATGTGACTGAGATGTCTGTAGTAATTTGGATAATAAGAACACCTAGCTCTTATCCTAGCCCAGATCACCTGTAGCGCTCCAAGTGCTTCACACAATAGACAAGTATCATTAAACCCACTTAGCAGCTGGGGAGGCTGCGATAGAAAGAGCAGGGACTCTCACTGTGCCACGCTGGGGCGAGCCAGCCAGCCCCATGCCAGTGCTATTCTCTCATCCCAGTCTGAGCCGCGTTGAACTACCGAGTGCTGAGGTCGAAACGGCCAGAAGAAAGTCATCTTCAGCTGGAGCCTGAGGATGAGAGGTGAGGGGGAGCAGTGGGGTTGGCATGAAGGTGCTTATCCCTGCTGGAGTATGGTTTGAGCTGTTGGATGGGCCCTGGTGGTCCCTGCTCCAGGTAGGATCCCTGCTTCTCCAGCAGAGCCACGGCCTGTGTTGCAGTGAGCTCCTGAAAGGCTTGGGGGGAAGCTGGTGAGCAGGCTGGCCTGATCCTGTCTTCTGATTTCCTGAGCCGGGGCTCTCAGTTGAATTCCCCGAGCAATGTGTCCACTGGTGAGATTGCATGTGTGCATTCTCTGCAACCAGACGGGGACATCCAGAGTGATGGAGCCAGCAGGTTCATGGCACATTACACTAGGGGCCATGCGCCAGAAAGCATGGGCCTTGCCCTGCAGAGCAGCTGCCCTCCCTGTGACCGCCCAGCCCCAAACCTGACAGTCCAGCTCCGTTAAAGTCAAGGCAACCGCAAGTGGTGGCCGAAGGGGAGCCTCCTGCGCTGGCCAGGGCATGATGTCAGGCACAAACCTGGGACACCTCCACTGGGTGGAGTGGGCGACCCAGTTCTGAAGCCCATGCGTGTGTTTGCAAGCTGATCTTAGTGCCCCACTAAAGCTCAACTTGCGGCCAAAAGGCTTGATGTGCCTTGGCCTCCCATCCCCTGGCAGCTGTGTGGAGGGACCCGTTCCGGCCATGCTTCCTGGAAGGGGGCGGCTGTGGGCTTGGTTCCTGCAACTCCCATGGGGTGGAGGCCATCGCAGTGGGCAGCACTCTCGGGACCGCAGGTCAGCAGCGGGAAGGGGAGTCACCACTGCTTTGCCTGATGCCTGCCCAGCCCAGGCTCCTTTCCTGGAGGTGGTGCTCTGCGGAGGGAGTCCTCTGTCTTCAGCCTTTCCCCTGTCAGGTAGAGGCACCAATCTGGCGTTGACCATCTCTTCAGCTTTAGCCTCCTCCTCTGCCCCTGCTCAGCTTTTCACCTCCATGTATTTAGCGGCAGAGATGGTCCTTTGCCTTCCCTGAGGACCAGGAGCATGTCAGGAACTGAGGAACCTGGTTAAACTTCTTTCCATCCGTGGGCAAGGGGCTCTACAAGCCCGTGGGGCTTCCTCGTGTGCCTCTGGCAAGCCATGTCTTTTCATTTTGAGCAGACCTCTCCCCTTAGACTGTTGTGCAGACCTTGCCCCAGCTGGGCCATGCGAGGCCAGCGCTTGTTTGGCATTTACATTGAGTGAAACCTTATAACTTTAATAAGATGTAAACCGTGTCACACGTATCTGCTGTTGCCCAGCAACCCTTCAGTAATGGCCAAAACAAAGCCTCCCCGGGTGGAAGGAACACTAAATCCTATTGTGGGATAATTCTACTCGGCCAGAGCTGTTATCTCCCCGGCTTGCCCCCTGCAGCCGTCCCGGCGGGCGCTCGTGCTGCCCGGCCGAGCCCCTGCTCCACGGCGGCTGACTTGCCTCCGTGCCGTGCCCTCTGGCAAGGGATAGCTCAGTAAGAGATGCTGGGGTCGATCCTTAGCTGATTTACACTGAGATGGCTTCCTTGGGTTAATGCAACTGCTTCTCAGCTGAAGAGTTTTGCCCATGTTTTGAACAGCGAGCCTTATAAAAATAGTACTGTGTATTATTATATGCGCAACAGATAATGAAAATGAGATTACCATAGATGACCACTAATTTTACCCAGGGCAGCGTAAGTAATTTGTGTTGTCTTATTGTAGAATTCCAGTGTCCTTTTTTCTTCCCCTCAGTCTGCCACTTTCTTTTTTCCCTTCTTTCTGCAGACTAGCGTGGTCAGTTTTGCTTTCCGGTTCCCAGTGCGGGCGATTCCTTTGAGAAGCGCCTCTTGCTGTTGCAGAGCTGCACACAAAGCTCTGGCAGTGATTTCTGACAGCGTGAGGCTGGCCCTCCACTGCAGTGAGGAGGCATGATGAGCTCAGCTAAATCAGTGCGCGCTGCGGTTTTATTTGGATGTAGCTCACGTTTCAAAGCAGGGAAGCACCTGCAACAGGGTGTCAAAGCAGTAGCACAGCCCAGCCTGGGGTCTGGCTGTGGACTTAGCAGCTGCTGCCTCACTGCTACCAGCAGCTGAGGTGACTTGGACTAAATCTACTTCAGGAAGATCGACTCTGTCTTTACACCTCTAACTGCCGTGTAGACCTTGCCAAGGGGTGATAAATTTGGAGCATTTCATTTGGGGCCACGTTAGTATCTACAGCAACCCCGAGTGAATCCACTCACGCAGTAAGACATTGCATGCAAGTGATATATCGAAAGGAGGAGGTATTTATAAATGCTTCCCAGTTCAAGGGGTCTCCTAAAGAGATTTCAGACCTCGGGGAGCTGGAAGTGCTGGTCGCTTTGGCCCCAGGGCACTCCCGCCCTGCTGCAATGAGGACTCAGCTCCCCATACTGCAGCTAGCCTGCAGGCTGAGGAAATCGGTTAGGAGTCAGGGAAGCGAGTCCTGGTGCTCTTCTGCCCTGGGTAATGCAGAGCCTCATAGAAAATGTTGGAGCAGTGGTATGACAGGCTGCTGCTGTCCAGGACCACGCTCTGGCGTTTGCACAGGGAGAAGGACAGGGCCAACACAGCAATACTTTGATTATGAAAGGGCCACACGAGTGTCCATTGGCGCTGCGCCGTGCGTATGGGAGTGAAGGTGCAGGGAGTGAGAGACATCAGACCGCAGATGTGGATCTAGGGCTCTCGGGGTGGCTGGTCTTGGCTCTCAGCCCCAGGGGTGTGCTGCGTGGGGGTAATGACAGCTGGCCGAGAAGCCAACTAGACCTGAGGAAGACAGAGGCAGGGACTTGGAGGGTCTAGCTGGCAGATGGGTACAGATGAGGACACCCTTGTTGTGTGGGATCTGCACCCAAGCTGCAAAACATCGGTGACGTACAGCAGATGGTTCCTAACCCCCAGTGCCGGGCAGTGGGTATTTGCAAGGCAACTTCAACACAAGCCCTAGCAGAGAACAGCAAACTTGTTACATGGGGTACAGGTCTTCCCTCCTTGCCCACTGCTAAGCTGTGACTGGGGACACAACGGAGACGGCTTTGCCGTCCCCTCTGGGCTGGACGCGGCTGGCTGATTTTGTACCATCTTTGCGCCACAGCTGCTGCCTCCTCCTCCCGTAGCATGATCGATGCGCCTTACCCTGAAGGGTGGGAGGCCGGGAGCTTGCAAGGCAGGCGTATGCCATCCATCAGACTATTCAGTGGATGCGCTGAGCCATGGCCCTGCAAGGATTTTTTTCTTCTTTTAATGCATTAACCTTCCGTTAGATGTAGACGCTGCTGGCTGTGCCTTGAGCTCTCTCATTGCAATCCACCCATGACCGGGCTTCATGAGACTTGACACTGCAGAGACATCTGCCTGGATCTGTGGTACACCCTGCAAACCGGCCTGCCCCGGAAATCCTGCAACACAGCAGGGTCTGGGTGCCCTTCATGACAGATGAAGTCATGTGAGAGCAGCCCAGGAGCTGTAGCCCCTCAAGCCCCTTCTCAGCAGTGGCTCCAGCCGGAGGACAAAGCCTGCGTTGGGAGCACCCCTGCCTTCAGAAGTCAGGCCCAAATACTTTAATATCAGCCAGCCAGGCTGGAGAGGAGCATTTTAGCGCAAAGGTTTGGTGGTGAGGAAATGGTGAAAGAGCACAGCTTATAGGATGGCTGAAGGACCGTCTGTGGGTACATGCGGGCTCGGACTGCCAAAGAGGGGGAGGACTTGGCTGCATGCAGGTGTCGCGAGGAGTTCTGGGATGCGGTTAAGTAATGGAAAAGCGAGGGTGGGCGTTGGGAAGGAGCTGTATTTTGGGTAGGATACTCCAAAGCAATCGCAGTTGGCATGGCTGCTCTGACTGGCGTTTGTGCTGAAAACCTCATTTATATCCGTGGAGCAGAGCGACAGCCTTGCTCTATGTGACGCTTTCTGGGCCGTGGCCTGGTGACCAGAGCCCGCTCGCGTGAGACGCTTGGAGCTAGACAGACGGCAGCCTGGCAAGAGGTGGCAGACACAGGGGTGGTGTGCGTTTCCCTGCTCCGGGTCCCTCTCCTCGCCCCATACCAGGAGCAGGAAAAGGGTAGCGAGTGTGTTCACTCTGTGTCCATCCCATGCTGGCTTTCTTTCCTGTTCCAGCTCCCTGGACAGGTCCTGGCATTCAACCTTCAAGAATCGTTTTCTCCAGCCGAGATCAGTCTCCTTGTCTGTTCAGCGCTGGGTATGTGCCCGCAACACCTGAACGGAGCCTTCTCCCCAGGGTGGACCAGCTGAGGAACCAGGGCTCCTGCTTGTTTGATGACTGCATTCTGCTTTGCTTTCCGTGGTGGCCGCCTGGGGCTGTCCTCCTTATGAGCCAGGCTGAAACAGCAGCTGTGGACAACAACATGCCATATGCGAATCCTCCGTTCTCTGCCCTTTCTCTGACACCCTGTTGTGGCCATTCCCTCTGCAGGTGGAGGCAGAAGAGCACCAGGACGTGGTGGTCTACGACCAGAGCACACGGGACGTGAACGGCTTGGCTGCCGACAGCTTCCTTTCCATCCTCCTGGGCAAGTTGGACAGCTGTTTCCACAGCGTCTCCATCCTCACAGGTAGGAGCAGGGAGAGCAGAGCTTTCTGCCTGCTGGCTGGGGTGGGAATACCTTTCTTCTTGAGGGCAAGAGATGGTGACTGGTGATGTTGCTTGGATCGGCAGCGTTGTAAGGCTCCTAGGAGGTGCGTGCCTACCTTGAGGTACGCTGCTCCCCTCCCTCCTTCCCAAATAGGGCTTTCCTCCTAGGCGCAAGGACACCAAGACAGGCAGGAAGGATGGGAACAGCCGGGGAGGGAGATGAACCCTGGAAAGTCGCTTGGCCACCCAGGTGAATTGCAGCAGGCTGTGGCATTTTCTGTAGTTGTTCAGGACTCGGTTACTCTTTCACTTGGCGGTTATGTGATTATTGTGGAGTTAAGATGGCTGTGGCCGTGCAGCACTGGCCAGGGCAGTCTTTCTGCGCTTGCACCTTCCAGCTCCTAGAGCTGGTCAACAACTGGCCACCAGTAGCGTCAAATAAGAGCCTTGCTGAGAGGTGGTTTTGGGGATGGGGTAATGCAGAGGGGAGGATGCGATGGAGCAATGGTTGCATGAATCCAGTTACCCTCTCTCCAAAAGCAGCCCTTCATTCCCCCATCCCTGCGCTGCTTAATATCTGATGAACGCACCAGGGGCTGGACTCCGTTCAAGAGCTCTGCTCTCCCTCTCTCTTATTAAACAGAGAGGGGAGGAAATCAGTGTGTTCATTGGGAAAGGGAAAGCGTGGGAAGGGCAGGGGCCGAGGGTTATCACTGGAACGAATCGGGGTCCTCCGGGGCTGGCATACCCCAGGAAGGCCACGTGCAGGAGGAGAGTGAGCACGCTGCTCTAATTATAGCCCTGCTGCAGAGCCAGCGCCGCTCTCCCAGCTCAGCGACAGCACGAGCAAAATCCAAGGCAGGCAATCGATGAATGAAACTCTCCGACGCAACAAAGAGGAGGATAAAGAGGTGGCAAGCTGCTGAAGGGAAAGTTAAAGCTCCCTGTAATTCCCAGTGGCTGGGAAGGCACAGCTCCTGCCTGGCTTGTTTCCCATCTCAGAGCTTGTGACCCTCCCATGCATCCCTAGATGAACGGGGCACGAGCAGCCGGCTCTGGCCCACGGAGGAGTGGCACACCTTGCCACGTGCGGCACTGCAGGCTAGATCAGCTCAGCCAGGCTCCTGGGCGTTGCCAGAAGCACGGAGATCAGGAGCAGCGAGGTAGAAGCAGCATTTCCCAGGCCTGTCCTTGTCCTGCTGTGATTTGATCCTGTTTTGGGGGTGAGAAGAAAGGTGCCAACCTCTGTGTCTTTTTTTTGTCGCACGGATGAAGTAAGTGACCAATCCCACAACCCCGCAGCAGTTTGGGCAGGGCAACAAAATCTGTGGGTAGCACAAGCAAGCGTAAACACGCAGCCTGACTTGTCTGTAGAGGTCAGCCCAGGAAGGCACCCCAGTGCCCCCATGGGCAGTGGCCGAAATGCCGGTGGCGGTACCCTGGCTCAGCAGCGTTTGCACCAGCATTTCTCCTGCGCTCGGCTGAGCTTCTTGGGTACTGAGGGCAAGATCAGCCTCTCACCCATTTGTACAGCGCCCAGCGCGCTGGTAGCCTTGCTCTCAGCTGGGATCAGTAGGTGCTATTGAAATAGCAACAAGAGCAGCTGGGTTGTGATGGGGACAACAGAGTAGAGCAATAAGGGAAATAAATCACCTAAGGGTGACAGTCTGAGGGTTTCAAAAACAAGCCAGGCCTGCATAAAATCATGGTAAAGATAATTAACCTGGCCTGGCTGAGGAGGGTGTGACAGGGTGACAGAACTGGCTAGTGAGCGGGAGGTGAGGCCACTCCTCAAGGCTGACGCTGCGAGCCTGCAACGGCAGCCGAGCGGCAT